TAGCAGGGGTGGGGGTGGGTCCCATAGCGAGTCCCCTCATTCACAGAGATTGCTTTGCCTGGAGCAATTGTGAAAGTTATGTTTCCTCAAGCCTGGTTATTAGCACTTGGGCATGGGCTTCGGTGAGGCCAAGAAAATATGTCAGTGAAATAGTCTTGTTTAGACACTGGTCCATTGAATCATCTCTATTTGTCCCTTTATTCTTCTAGAAATGGTTACATTTTTTTTTTTAAATTGCATATGTAGGGAAAATTTTTTCAACCAACAAGCCGTTCAGTTTCTTATTTATAATCCATTTCTACCAGTACTTTGGATAGTGGGCCTCCTTGTTAAAAAAAAAAAAAAAAGATTAGAAATATGACACATGATTAAATGAACAATAAGAGTAATCAGCACAGCAATTTTGACCTTTTTTATCTTGTGGCACATGTAAACAAATTACTACAATTCTGTAGCACACCAAAAAATATATTTTTTGCTGATCTGAGAAGAAATATAGGTATACTTTTGATTTATTCACACTGGAAAGCTATTGTTGTGTTGGCTGTTATCATTTTTTTAAAATCTGACAATCTAGGTTATGGGGAGAAGATGGCAGTGGGCAGGACCAGAGGGAGGGTGAGTGTGTGAGAGAGTGAGCGGGTGTGTAAGAGAGTGTGAGTGGATATGAAGGTGGATGACCAAACCCGAGCTGTGGAGCAGAAGGTCCCTATGCTGTGGACGGAGCAGCCGGCTACCGCGGTGAGCGGCTCTTCAGGGCACTTCTCCCTGCACCATGGGGAGGTCCCATCATTTTGGAAGATCCCAGGTTTTCCCTGGGAGGAGGCAGTGGGAGTGGCTAGGGCCCAGCAACCATAGCCCACCAGCACACCTGGCACCATCAGATCAGTGGACACTCTGTGTCAACACAGACCGGTGAACAGTAGTGGAGCTCCCAAGGTGCTGGTCACAGAAGCCACAGAAAGCCCAGAGCCCAGCACCATCCCCCATAGTAGCAGCCCGATCAGAGTCTAGATTTACCCCCAGCAACAGAGGCTGGGGAGCAGACTTCCATCCCCAGGCAACAGAAGCACAGACCAGCAGCTGAGACCCATCCCCAAAAACTACAGCAAAAGCTGAGCAGGAGTTGAGCCCCACAGGGCAGCAGCACTCCCCAGCCACCAGCAGCGGGACCTGGGGCTCCACAGAGACCTGTGATGTCCAGTAGCCCACAAGAGCAGTGGGAAGCCAGAGGCCCAGAGAGACTGGTGTGATCCAGCTGCCCATCCTCTGGAACTGCAGGATATGGGGTCACCAGAGAGGCCTGTGTGACTCAGCAGGGACTCTGTGATCCAGTTACCCTCAGGACCTGCAGGGTGCTGAAGCACCAGAGAGACCTGTGCCACCCAGCAGAGACTGTGCGATTTAGTTACCCACAGGGCCTGTGGGGTGCTGAAGCACCAGAGAGGCCTTTGCGACCCAGCAGCCCATAACATAGGCATAGAGCTGGGTCCCCAAAGGGAATGTACGATCCAGTTACCCACAGGACATGCAGGGTACAGGGGCACCAGAAAGTCCTGTGGGACCCAGCTGCACACAAGATAGGTGTAGAGGATGTGAAAATGGAGGCGGAGTGAATAGAGGCTACACAGATGATATCCCAGGACCAAACGAGAATTACAACTAAAATAAAGACAAATCCTTGGAAAAAAGCAACAGAAAAGCAGCAGGACAGGACCATATAACCAGGGACACTGGTAGGATCTTCAGAGGTGTGAGAGGGTGGCAGGCTGGGAGCCCAGGGACAGCAGCAGTCTTAGCTGTGAACAGAGCCCTTGGGGAATAAAGACCAAGCCTGCTCCACAGCACAGAGAGCTGGGACTGAGCACTAAAGTAGCCATAGCCACTCACCAGGGGGCTATGGCAGAGGAGGGCAGACTGGGCTGGAACTCTGTGGGGACACTCAGGATTTGAAGGGCACTCAGAGTTGTTGCTGAGTTGCAGCAAAAAAGGACGGTGGCCAGTAAGCTCCTTCCCAGAGCTGTTGGGAAAAGCAGCAGCCCCCCCTTGGAGATTCAGCCTGTCCCAGGTGAGGCAAAGAAATGCAAATTGAGGCTCATTAACAACCAGCATCTATCCCACCCTCTGAATATCCTCTTATGTAGAACATCAGGGCTACATTCCAAGGCACTGAATAACTGAGACTACTAGCCACCAGGAAAAAGCTAGAGGATAACTGAACCTTTCCTGGGCATGCAAATCTACCCAGGAAAGTAAGACTTGACAGTGGTCTTTAACATGGGCCCACCCAGGCTCATCCAAACCAGTAGAGGGAGCCATAAACAGCAGAACAGCAATACCCACAGGGAAAACTTGGCAGGCTCCAAAACCCACTGAGATAGCCAAAATGGTGAAACAAAGAAACAAATCCCAAATGAAAGAACAAGAGAACACTATTGAAGATGAGTTAAACAAAATGCAGTTAAGAAAATTATCAGAAGTAGAGTTCAGAGCCATGATCTTGAGGAAGCTCAACAGCATGAGTAAGGACATTAGCACTATGAGTAAAGATATAGAAACATTGAAAACCAACCAAGTGGAAATGAAGAATGACATAGCAGAAATTAAGAACAAATTAGAAATAAACAGCAGAGTAGAGGAAGCTGAGGACTCGATCAGTGAATTAGAAGACAGGATAGAAAAAACCAACCAAAAGGAAAAAACTATTGAAAAACAGGAAGGCAGCTTAAGAGAACTGTGGGACAACTGGAAACGTAATAACATTCTCATCATAGGAGTCCCCGAAAAGGAAGAAAATGAGCAAGGGTTAGAGAATATATTTGAAGAAATAGTGACCGAAAACTTTTCTAACTTGATGAAGGAAGAAGGCATTCAAGTTCAAGAAGCACAGAGAGCCCCATGTAAGAAGAACCCAAACAGGCCCCCACCAAGACACATAGAAATTAAAATGCAAAAAAATTAAAGACAAAGAGAGAATTCTAAAGGCAGCAAGAGATAAGCAACAGATTACCTACAAAGGAAAGCCCATAAGGCTCTCAGCTGACTTCTCAACAGAAAGAAATACTACAGGTCAGAAGGGAGTTGCATGAAGTAATCAAGGTCATGAAAAACAAGGATCTGAATCCAAGACTACTCAAATAAAGAGCTTTCCAGACAAAAAGGCTAAGGGAATATATTAACACCAATCCAGCATTGCAAGATATGCTAACAGGACTGCTGTAATTCATAGAAGAAATAGGAAGAAAAATAGAACCGCACTAAACAAAAATAGCAATAAATAAGTACATATCAATTATCGCCTTAAATGTGAATGGTTTGAATGCTACAATAAAAAGACACAGAGTAGCTGACTGGATAAGAAAGCATGACTCACATATATGTTGTTTGCAAGAGACCTACCTCACAACAAAAGACTCACATAGGTTGAAAGTGAAAGGATGGAAAAAAATCTTTTAAGCAAATGGAAAGCAAAAAAAAAAAAAAAAAGCTGGGGTAGCAACACTCATATCTGATCAAGTAGATTTCAAAATGAAGGCCATAACTAGAGACAAAGAAGGCCACTACATAATATTGAAAGGATCTATCCAACAGGAAGATATAACCTTGGTAAACATATATGCACCCAATTTAGGAGCATAGCAGGGGACTTCAGCACTCCGCTCACATCACTGGATAGATCTTCTAGACAAAAATTTAACAAGGAAACACAGACTCTAAATGAAGTGCTAGATCAAATGTATTTAATAGATATCTACAGAGAATTACACCCCAAAACTGCAGAATTCACATTCTTCTCAAGTGCACACGGGACATTCTCAAAGATAGACCACATGTTAGGGTACAAACTAAGTCTCTACAAGTTCAAGAAGATTGAAATTATATTAAGCATCTTCTCAGATCACAATGGCATGAAACTAGAAATCAATTGCAACAAGAACATGCAAAAACATTGAAAACATGGAGGCTAAATAGCATTCTATTGAACAATGAAGGAAAGTATACAAAGCCATTGTGTTAATATTTTAACATAAAGAGATCACAGAGAGATATAAAGTTTAGAATCCTGGACTATATTTTTAGCTTAGTTTAGTCTAAGAGATTTTGATGGAAGAAACTTAAAACAATTAAAAATGACCAAATAACCTCACACAGAGTCTATTTTTTTCTTTCTTTCTTCCTCTAGCTTTTGCAAGAAATTATTTATTAAGATTGTTGTTTTCCAGCTTCCCTTCACAAATGATGAAATAAGAAACAAACAAAAGCATGGTCAGGGAAGTATCATGTTTGACAAGAAACATGTTTAGACAAACTAAATTGCACACTTCAAAAAAGGAACACCAAAGCCAGCGATTCAATACTTTTACTTAGGCACTCAAAGTTAATTTGATTGGCAATAATTGTCTGAAAATGGCCAGTGCTAGAAAGTCTATTTCTTTATGGACAATAGTCAGTTTATGTATTTATTTTTTCCTATGAATTGGCTATACTATGAAAATTGTGATTCTCACTTACTGCTGCCACCCATTAATAAGGACAGCCATGCTTGGCGATGGCCTTGAAAAGCAGAACAAGCAGCCTGTGTAGGAAGCAGAGCGCTGCCCAGACAGCTTCAGTGCAGAGACAGACACCCGCAGTGAGCTGGGATGCTAGGCACGTCATTCAGGCTCCAGGAAATTCTATTTTTCTTTCTTTAAAATGGGACCAAATTTACAGTTTTTACCTTACTGAGTTTAATTACAAGAGAAAATGCGAGAAAAAGTGTCCAGCATGTTGTACATAATCAATAAATATTAGTTGGTATGGATCAGTCTTCTAGAAGTCTTTTCATGACCTGTTACTTCACTTTTGAAAAATTAAACTTTAAGAAAGTTGTTTCTTTTATGCTTAAATATTCATAAAACCTAGGGTAATTCATGAGAGAAAACTTGTCGTTGTCTTCCTTGATTTGTCATGGTATCTCTCTCATAGAAGTGTAAATACCAGTGTTTTCCTTTCTCCAGACCACAAGCCAATGAGCAGCCTCAGTTTGCCTTTGTCCCACCGGAGATGCTCACGTCATCGGGTTACACTGGACAGTTTTTTCAGCCAGCATCCAACCCGGATTATTATTCACAGTCTCCTTACACTGACAGTTTTGATGAAGAGCCTCCTTTGCTAGAAGATAAGTTAAGGAATGCTATTAATATGTGTACAGCTCAAGAATAACAGCCATAATCAGCACCTACTGTGTGCTGTCAGCATGCTGCATACCGTGTTGTATGTGTGATTGTTCCACGTGGAAACACGTCTGCCTCTTCAAGACACTTACACCATGGAGTCTGTCGCATGCGTGTGGGGGCTGGGAAGTAGACATGTGCTATTGCTGTGCTGTTGCTGCAGTTTATACATTTTCTTCACTGTTTCTTACATTTGAACTGCCTGGCAATGTCTAGACAACAGTGAAGACAACTTTTCCAAGGGTGGTTATATCAAAGTAACTACCCTTCCCGTTGCTGTTAATGAAACCACTTCCCCTCCTACTTTATACAGGTCGGAGAAAAGTTCTCAATTATTTCTTTTCCTTTGTGATTATCCCCACCAAATGTGTAGTATATTAGAAGAAAGAGCACTTAATACAGTTCTGCATCTGAATCTATGGAATTTCCAAGCTCTGCTCTAATATGTTCTTCAGGCTGTGTGACTTTGTGAAAGTCTCCAACGTCATCTCTAAGAAAGATATGAAAAGGCTGTAGGCAGAATTTCTATGAGAAGGTGATCAATGACATTTGCTAGTTTTTATTGAGTGTACATCAAAACAACCTATAACATGATGAATGTATAATAAAACATTCCCTGCACCAAAACATGTTATTTGAAATGGGGCTCATTTATGCCTTACTTTGTGGCCTAAAGGACTTGTTTGGTTTTATGTGAGAATGATAACTTTTGTTATTTGATAATGTATGATCAGTATTTTAACAGATAGACCATAAAGACTAATAGTTAATTTAAGTCTGTCAGAGCAGAATAATTACTGATATTTGGTATTATTTGTAGCATAGCCTGATGTTTATATTTGAAAGGCCAGTGACACAATTTGTGTAGAAAATAAACATACTAATTTATTTTTATAGCCTTACACTTTACTACCACTAGATGACAGTAAAACAATAATTTTGCATTCAAATTTCACAGCAGTTTTATTTTCTTTTATTTTGTGTAATAAGGTGTTATATTAGATTTTTTGCAATTGATGGCTAGTTATAATCTCATTTGTGTACCTCGTAATAAATCTGAAAACAAAATACAAAGGTAGGTTTCAGGTGTTCATATGGAAAATAATACAATAATAAATAAATAATAATAATGCAATAATTAATTCTGTGTTTCGTGTTCTCCCAACTGTAAGTCTGCTTTTGCCCCTCCCTGTATTATGGTAATGTGTTTTGGTAGAAATCACATAAAATCTTTTTCTTATGAAAATATTTAGCGGTTCTTAGGTTCATTCACTGTTTTATGACACCATTGAAACATGTGTAGAAGTTAATTATTCCATCAGATAAATGACTGAAATCAGCAATAATGTCTAATAAAGCATTTTTCATCTGAGTTTGGGAAAAATTCTTATGCTTTTTTAGGAAAAAGCTATTTTAAATTAAAGTCTACTTTATTATGGTAAACACTGAAAACATTGTTAGCATAAATGTGTACATTGAAAATGAAGTTTGAAAGGAACATATATCTCAAGTGAAATTAATTTAACTAGAGTATTTCTCAATTTTATTAAAGTCTGCTATTTTAAAAATCACATTAAACATTCTGACCCAGCAATTTTTAACCATTTTTATCTCATGGCACACACAAACTAATTACTAAAATTCTGCGACATACCGAAAAACAGATTTTTTGCTGATCTGACACACACACAAAAAGCTATGATTTTATTCATTCACACCAGATGTTGTTGTTGTGTTGGCTGTTGTCATTTTCTTATTTGACAATCTCAGGGAAAAGAGGTCAGTGCCCCTGACTAAATAGTTAGGTACTGCATGTTTTAAACATTCTTGCAGCACACTGGTTGAAAATCTCTATGCTAACCTCATTTAAAGCTTGGTGAACTGCTTACATTCTCCAAAGTATATGTTCATTAAGAAGCATATAAATACACTGAGAATAAAAAGGATGCGACACGAATGTTGTAATGTAGATTATTTGCTCACAATTAATTTAACCAACCAAATTGTCTCTTTTCAAGCTTGGGGTGGTCATCGTCAACCTGGATGTGAAAGAATATGCTTTCCATCCTCGTTCAGACCAACTTCTGCAGAGCCTTCTGAAAAATGTGTAGGTCCCTGTTAGAGCAAGGTCCCTCTGCCGTGGCGATTATTCAAAGTCCACCTGGTTTGCTGTGTATAGCATGTTAGCTTTGCAAGATGTTTTGGTGGTATGAGCCACGGTGAAAGAAGTTGAACTATATATCTGACCAAAAAGAGTTACTAAATTCTAGGGAGGGAAGTTGCATGCTACATAGGAATGATTTGGGGAGACACTCCTTCACGGGAGAGGACTGGGCTTAATGAAAAAAACATACCACCGTTATCAGATTAGATGCACATTGAGTTGATTAAAAACATGGGTTTTTTGTTTTGTTTTGTTATTGTTCGATTTTTGGTGGGATGGGCTGTACCCTTATATCAAGTACTTCCTGTTTTCCCCACTTCCATAGCCGTAACACTCAGACAAATGCCAAGTTAAATTCTACCAAGAGAATGATTATGTTTTCTTAAATTCTAGAATTAATAGCAACCGTTTAACGTTTGCTATGCCAAATGTTTTACTTATAACTCTCAATAACTCTATGAGTAATGTTTTAGATAACATATCTGAGGGTACAAAGTTAAGCACCAGAGCTGAGACAGAGACCAAGATGATTCCAAAATCCAGCCTCTGCAACCGCTTTTCTTCTCTGTTTCGATGAAACTGTTTCCTTTTTAAATTTTGGATTTGACATATAATTCATATTATGCAGTATTTGTCTTTCTCGGCTTATTTCACTTTGCCTAATGCCCTCAAGGTCTATCCGTGTTATTGTGAATGGCAGGATATTTTATTTTACCACCACTACTCTTAAAAGGGAATTCAAGAATTCAATCTTTAACTTGTCTCAAGAATTCAATCTTTAAATGGACAGACTCAACCACATAGAATATGTAACTGGTTAAAATGTGCGTGCGCATCCTGATTGCTTTTACTTGCTGAACGGGCCATGCCCCCGTCCCCTCCGTGGCATTGCAGGCTGTTAGCATAGAAATCGCTCTTCTCATCAGGTGGCGTGACAGTAAAATCCTGGACCTGGGGTGAACACCTTTAGTTTAGATAATTCCGCTAAGTGAAATGTCGTGCCATGTTTGATCTGATTATATATCAAAAGTGTTAGCAATGGAAATTTCAGGAAAAGGAAATGTTTAAATGGGCAGGAGGATGGACTTTGGGTCTGTTAGCTTCGATTATACTTTATTTTTCACTGTAGAATGTCCATTTCATACTTTACAGCTAGATTTTAATCTTGTATTTGATGTATAAGTCAGGGATATTTTTTTCTTATGGAATGATTTGTCTAAAATATTTTTTTTTTACCTCATTGAGAACAAAAATCTATTTTTATTTATTTATTTACAGTTTCATTTTTTACATAGAATTTTAAATTATGAAGGTATAACAATCAGATTAAAATACTAGTAAATTAGTTAGATACATTAACTTTAATTAAAAAATAGAATTGATGTTTATTTTTCTATATTTATATTACCTTTTTTCTCCCCATTTTGCAGAACTTGGAATTAATTTTGATCACATATGGCAGAAAACCTTGACAGTGTTAAACCCACTGAAGCCAGCAGATGGCAGTATTATGAATGCAACCGACCTAGCTGGGCCCATCCTGTTCTGTGTGGCTCTGGGAGCCACCCTGCTTCTGGTAATACACAGCAACATCAGCTTTGAATGTGATTTTTGAAGAGAGCTTTGTAAATACAGAAGGCAGTAGGTCACTTTATACAGTGAAAATTGTCTATCGCTACATTTTGGGGTAGGGTAAGAGAGACATATTTAATAGAACTATTAAAATAGAAACTGCCATCATGCGTTACAACAGATAAAAAATAGAAATTTAAATAAAATTAAAAAAATAAAACCACCAAATAAAAATATTCAACAAAGCAGGAAATCATTTATTTCTTTATCATTATTAAGAAAAGAACTGTCAATCTGGAATAGTTGAAGAAACACATGGATTTGGGAAATATAAGGCTTAAGTTTTATTTCTTGCTTTCTGTGAAATCTGGATTGTGACATAAGACGAATCCTTTCTCTTTGTAAATCACTTTCTTTGCTGGAGTGTGTCTCTAGAGTATAATACCCTGTGAGTTTGAGGTGGGCCTTCTTGTTTTTCTGGTTAGGATACTATGGATACATTAACTTGCAATGATAACCTAGGATTTGTTTATTCTATCAATATATTTCTCCTATTACCTTAGTTTTATGCTTTTTATGAAAACATTTCTTTCCCCTGACTTCACCATTTTCTTTGTGTATGTGCTTCTTTCACTCTTTATATCTGGGAGAAATGTTATCAAAAAACATCAAAAAATTTTTTTAAATCACATATTTTGAGCTAAGTTGAGATAACATTCAAACTTAGAGTTTGGAAAAATGTTTTATTTAAAAAAAGGAAGAAAAAGAAGAAATAAGAAAAGGTTGATGATTTTGTATCAAGGAGGGAATGATAATACATGCAAAACAGAGGATGGCCCCAGCCAGTTGGTTCAGTGGGTTGGAGCGTGGTCCCGTACACTAAATAGGTTGTGAGTTTGATTCCCAGTCAAGGCATATACCTAGGTTGCAGGGTCCATTCCTGGTCAGTGCATGTGAGTGAGGCAACTGATCAATGTTTCTCTCTCTTTTTCTCCTTCCCTCCCTCCCTTCCTCTCTTTAAAATCAATAAACATATCCTCAGGTGAGGACTAAAAAAATAATAATAAACAGTGGATGGAAAATACGGTCAAGCTAGTCTGAAAATAATATGGTTTTATTAAGGTATAAAATGATAAACTTGGCAGAAGAAATAATCTAGGAAATTAGAGAGTGTAGGCCTTTTCCACTATCCCCTCTTATAGTTACTTCCCATAATTGTTTTTTTCTTCAGTGTAGTTACAATTTTTAAAAGTAGCTGTAAAATGTTATTTGCAATTAAATAAATCACTTTTTATTTATTAACTACTTAATACCAGTATCAAAGCACTGATAGAAATTGAATTTCTGCATGGGAATATGGTCAATAATCACAGCATACTCATCCAGTACAATAGTATTTAGTGATAGCATCTTATTTCTTCCTTTGAACTACAGCAAATTCAAATACTCTGCAAATCAAACTCAATATCAACTAGTTTTAATGTAGTCTCTAACCTTCCTTCTGTTTTTGTCACAGTAATTTGATAATCTTAGATTAAGCTGCTAAGTAAGACCATGTCCATTAATCAAATAGTCAGAAACAATCAATGTAATATATTAACTCATCTTTCTTTTTCAAGTAATTTGTAATATAACAGCTGTTTTGTTTTCTGTTATTTTTTTCTGTAGACATACTACTGTCAAATCATTTAAATGAAATTATTAATCCCATTAAGAGCTTTTTTGGGTTTACAGTGTTAGTTGGAGTTATTTAAGTATCCTCTCTTTTGTCTTAAGTACAAAGCTATATAGACAAAGAAATCAACTGGAAGTGAGAAAGTTGAATCTACCACTAACTTTTCTTCTAGGTATGATCTTGAATCTTATGTTTCCTGTTTCTAGGACTTTGTTTCTTCATTTTGAGAACAAAAAGGGTATATTAAAGTGGTTCTTATGGTTCCTTTCAGTTCTGAAATTTTTGGGAACATTTGAAAATGAATGTTTTCTAAAAATTTTTAGGAATATATTATCACTTCAATTTTACTGTTAGTATGTGGCTACTTTGGATTTGATTCTGATACATGTAGAGCAATAAGGCCCCAAACAAACAAACAAGTGGATATTAGTGAAGTCATAATCAACTTTGAAGCTATTTGAAGCTAAGTAAACCCTGCCCCGGATATGTTGAAGTAAAATGTAAAAGATGAGCCCTGGCCTGGTAGCTCAGTTGGTTAAAGCATTGTCCCGATATGCCAAGGTTGTGTGTTTGATCCCTAGTCAGAGAATATGCAAGAATCAACCAATGAATGCATAAATAAGTGGAACAACAAATTGGTGTTTCTCTCTCTCTTATTCTCTATTTAAAACAAACAAACAAACAAACAAACAAACAAACAAACAAACAGTCACGCAGCTGGTGTGGCTCAGTTGACTGAGCATTGTCCCATAGACTAAGAAGTCCCAGTTTGATTCCGGTCCAGGGCACTTGCCCGGGTTGTGGGCCATTCTCCAGTAGGGGGCGTGCGGGAAGCAGCTGGTCAGTGCTTCTCTCTCACATCGATGTTTCCATCTCTCTCTCCCTTCCTCTATCTCTAAAAAATCAATTAAAACATATTTTTAAAAATATATAAAGGATACTTTTATGGGCTGACTATATATATATATATATATAAAGCAAAAGTAAATCCAGAAACTATATCCAAATCTGTTCATTGTCTCTGGAGGTGTAAGATTCATATCACATACTCATCTTTTTTTCTGATTTATGTTGATATAAGGCACAACACTGTTTAGTGGACTTTATTCATGCTGGATGAGGCAAACCAATAAGAGCAGCTTCAAACACTTAACATAAATTGAGTTTTACTTATTATTTCTCTCAAAGTTATTTCACCCCCAATACAATAAAGATAAGTGGTTTAAAGCTATTATTTATTTATTTATTTATTTTTTATCCTCACTCGAGGACATTTTTCCATTTTTTGTTCAGATAGAGTGGGACGGAGAGAGAGGAAGAGAGAGAGAGAGAAAAACATCGACATGAAAGGGACACATCGAGTGGCTGCCACCCGCACAACCAACCAGAGCCGGACCGCAGACCGATGCTCTAACCGTTGAGCAAAACCGGCCAGGGCGGTATTTACTTGTTTATAGATCTAAAGGTGTGACCTGAAAAAGGGACATGCATGACCCATCTACAAGCATAGTCACATGAATAAGTATTTCGAATAAAGATTTAGTATGGAGTTGGTACAGAGAGGATCCTGAACATTTTGAGGTTAAAAAGAAATGGAACATTTTTCCCCTTTTTTATTAATTTGACATCTGTATACACTAACTACACAGTGATCACCCCCAAAAGTCTAATTACTATCTATCACCATACAATTAACACCCTTCACCCTTTGGTCCACCCCAAATCCCTTCCTCTCTGGTAACCATGGATCTGTGATCTATTCTCTGTAGGTACTTAAAAAAAAAAGGAAAATTTATTTTCCATTTCAATTATAAGCCCTTGTTATATAATTCGAAACAAATTAGGAAATAGCAGTGGCCCTTGCCAAGTGGAATTGTGCTTTAAACTGAACAAAATAAAAAGAGAAAGAGATGAAGAGAAATATCAGTAACTGACCAGGAAAGGGACAGTTTTGTACCAAATTAGTTTCATTTATCATTTATTTATCTCACCCTATTCACAGAACTTCTTGGGGCTGGGGGGTCCAGCTATATGTCCTTTGGGTATAGGGAAGTTGCTTTTAACCATTATAACTATCACTATCTCAGAATGATCACATTCAGGTAAAATATTAAGAAATATGTTTCTCTCTCTGGACCACAGGCTGACGCTCTAACCGCTGAGCCAAACCAGCCAGGGCTGTTTCTCTACTACATAAAAGTAATTTGAAAGTGTCACTATTTTCCAAATGGAGCCAACCCATTCAAAGGTGCAGTGCATAACTGATGTGGATTTTTTTTGGAAAAACATTTTTATATGTTTTTGTTGATTTTTTTAGAGAGAGAGGAAGGGAGAGAGAGACAGAAACATCAGTGTGAGAGAGAACATCGACTGGTTGCCTCCTGCATGCCCCCTACTGGGGATCTAGCCCACATCCTGGGCATGTGCCCTGACTGGGAATTGAACCAGGACCTCTCAGTCCATGAGATGATGCTCAATTCTCTGAGCCACATCAGCTTGGTGATTTTTTTTTTTAAAGCATATCCATTAGCATCATTATGGTTATTTCACAAAATATCCAAAAGAATACAAAAGATATCCAATGAGAACTTACTAGAGCTAATGCAGGAGAGAATTCTGCCAGCATAACCAGGCACATTTTTGAGAAAGAACTTAGCAGTGACGAACCTCCTTAACTACAGAGGAAGAAATGTTGAAAATAGCTGGACAATTTGGAACAGTAAAATGGTTATAGCATTCTCCATTACCCTTCATTAATCACAAAATAAATATTTCTTTCTTCTCTAAGACCTAAAGATTTCATGAATAACAGCTATGGAGAAGAAAAAAATAACAGCAGAAAACTTCTCTTCCTGAAACAATATACCAGATCCTTTGCTATTTTTGAATAATTCCCATGAGAACCAAAGTTCGGTTTTACAACCTTTATCTGGAATTTCTAATCAGCTTAATGTAAATATAAAAACTAAATTTATTCTTGACTGGAGCTTTGGCATCGCCAGGTAGCCAACGTTAAAATAGCCTCTGTTGAATTAATAGTAGATTGTGACTTTTCCTAGATGAATTTAATGGAGGTACTCCTAGATCCTAGTGCTTTGTGAATGGTGGCTATTTTTATAAGTCCTCAGAAGATCCGTGGTATATCCTGAACACCACTGAATTCCCTTAACAGTATCTCTTTTATGATTCAGTATCAGATAGTTTATATAAATCAACTTTTCTATGTTCAGTTAAACTGGCAATAAGAAATATGAAAAAAATTTTCTGTGGTCAAATAAATTTGGGATATGCTGGGTTATGAAAGGTTAAATAAATTCTATTATTTTAAGACTTATTAGAGCTCCTGTAGATGTTAAGGATCTAAATTTTAGAGCCAGACTGAATTATTTTACTTTGGGAAAGCTACTTAAACTTTCTGCCCCTCAGCCTCTTCCCATGTAAAATTGGTGTAATAATGGTACCTATCTCATAAGATGGCTGTGTGGATTAAGTGGGTTATAGATGTGAAATGCTTAGAAAAGGCCCTAACACAGTAAATCCTGTAGCTCTTGCCTAATATTACTAATATGCCTTATAAATCTTCAAGATTTATAAATTGAAATTTTTTTCTTTGATTGATTGATTTAATTATTCAAAAAATATGGGGAGAACATATATTCCTATGTCTTATATCTCTAGGCAATCTATGATTTTATATATATATATATATATATAAATATTCATCTTTTCTGCAGTATGCTTGTACCATCCCAGGTATAGTTGGGGATATTTGTTTTCAGGACCTACATTCTTATTATGGCCAGTGATTTTTCCAGAACTCCTCATCTCTTGATACTTGCTGAGCTGATTGATTCTAAAATGCTGTCTGATTCGCTGACATTCTGATTTTCTCTTGATGCCTTTTGTGTGTTCCAACTATGTTCTCATTGTTTCAGGCAGGAAAAGTTCAATTCGGCTACGTGTATGGCCTGAGTGCCATTGGCTGCCTAGGGATTTATGCCTTGCTGAACTTGATGAGCTCTTCGCAGGTGTCCTATGGCTGCGTGGCCAGTGTGCTGGGTTACTGCCTGCTCCCCATGGTCATCCTGTCCAGCTGCGCCGTCTTCTTTTCACTGCAGTAAGTGTCCGTGTTTGCTGATTGATCCCACAGACACCATCATCACTGAGGATCGCCACACCAGTGCAGCCGTTAACCTCTTTCTGATCATTTTGGTGGTGGAGTTGGGAAATCCAATGACTATTAGAAGCTACAGGTAGAAGCAGGCAAGTAAGACAGTTTTGGCTAGTGTGCTGTTTCTATTTCAATTATTTAAAAAAGTAGATTAAATCAAGTAATTTTTTAAACTGGCACTTTGTAAGTTGTAACATTCTTCAATATGAACTGCTGTCATGGGTAATACGACAAGTTCATAAAATTCACTTGTTTGATTTTGAAGAGTAAGTGCCTGGTGAACACTGACAAAGGACATGCTCCCAGGCACTGTCTTCCAGGCAGGAAGCAGCTGCTCTTGCTCAGCGGGCTCCCTGCGGCGCCGAATTCCCAGGAACCCTGGCGAGGATGTGAATGCTAGAGAATTTTATGGCATATATGCTCAGTCAAGATTTTTTTTTTCTTTTATTACTTCCTAAGCAGTGAGTATTTGCAATTCAAAACTATTAGAAAGGATGCAGTAGATAAGTTTCTGTCAGGCACTCTCCTGGGACATCTGCATGTCACAACCGCTTTGATCAGGGAGACCAAGTAATTACATCGTCCTTTGTCACTTGTCATGCTCTTAAACCCGATTAGCAATAAACATTTGCCATCAGTGCTCATCGTAGTGAGACACAATTTGCATGATTTTCTAGGATGATCCACATTTTAGATTAGTAACCTTACAATGGATAGGATATTATAGAGAGAATTTACCAATACCAAGGATAGGCATTTTATTTTATTTAAAAAAATTTTTTTCTTTATTAATTTTTAGAGAGAGAGGAACGAAGAGGGAGAAGAAAATAGAAACACTGATGAGAGAGAACATCCATTGGTCACCTCCAACATGCCCCCATATTGGGGATTTGGCCCACAACCTGGACATGTGCCCTGACCAGGAATTGAACTGGAGACCTCTGGGTGCATGGGTCGATGCTTAACCACTGAGCCACACAGGTCGGGCAAGGATAAGCATTTTAGAAAAGACTTTAATATTTTTATTTAGACATAATCTCATATAATATTTTTTATAGCATTTTTGAAAATGATCTAGTTGGAAATGCTTTTAAGATAGGGTCTCTTTTTTATAGTAACATTCTTGAGAATAATTTAGAGCAAACTCTCATTTTATCAGCAAGTACTCCTCAACATTTAAAAAAGGGTAATATGCCCTGGCTGGTTTGGCTCAGCGGTTGGAGCATTGACCTGCGAACCAGAGAGTCCTGGGTTCGGTTCCCGTTAGGGGCAGGTACCAAAATAAATAAATAAATAAATAAATAAATAAATAAATAAATTAATTAATTAAATTAAATTAAATAGGGGGATACAACAGAAAATGGATACATTGAGTGTATAATTACAATGTGAGTCACAGGTACATTTATTGAGTCTTATCCATAGAAAGATCCCACTTTTGGAATATCAAGTTCTTCAGCAAGCAAGCTGCTCTATTTACTATGCTATTTGGTACAAACATTTGACAAGTTAATGCAGAGTTCAGTTCTGCAGTTTATATTTTGTCAAAGGCTTTCGTCAGAGAATACTATAATGATTTACCATTTAAAAATTCTAAGTTTTAAACATTATTTTCAGCAAAGTTGAGATTTAGGGCACTTTAAATGACTCCAGATTATAGAGGAAAAAAATAAAAACTAAAGCTCTTGGATTTGGGGAATCATCATAAGTATAAACTTCTTCATTAGATTTTCATCTTGAAATTATGAAAGATGGTTTAGAAATCCTTTAAATTATATTAAAGGGAAATAGACTGTCTGATGCCTAAGACCAATCCACTGAAATTGCTCTTTCAGGCATATTACCATAACATTCAAATTAATCATATATAATTTTACATTCTCGTTCACAAAAACTTATAAATTAAATCATTCTAAAAACCATTCCCTAATAGGTATTAATTAAACCAATGAATATCATATTTATTAGAATATTTAAACATATCTTCACTTTATTTATAAGCTATATTGTATAGTTTTTCACTTGTTTTGCTTTGGTTCAATTATTATTATTTTAAAGTATATTTCTGTTGATTTTTTTAGAGAGAGAGAGAGGAAGGAAAAGAGAGAGAGAAACATCGATGTGAGAGAGAGATACATCCATTGGCTGCCACCTGCATGCCCCCTACTGGGGATGGAGCCCTAAACCCGGGCATGTGCCCTGACCGGAAATCGAACCAGGACCTCTCTCTCAGTCCATGGGCTGACACTCTGTCACTGAGCCACATTGGGCCCCTTTCTTATTATTAATAACTAGTTAATTATCTCACACACATATAAGGGCTCTTCAGCAACGAATGAGAAGAAACACCTAAATGAGCCTGCCTGTCCATGTGTTCCCTGCTTGAACTGTGTCGGACTTCACTATCTCAGACGACAATCTGGGAAGTGGACTTGGGGGCAGTGGGGACAGGGCACCTCCTGGAATGCAAGTCCAGTCATCTTTCTGCTCCTACTGTGGGTAAATTTAGAAGAAGCTGTCTGGGAAAGAAATATGTAGCTGTAAAAGAAGTTCCTAACACAGTTTATGTAAAAGAATTTCAGGAGGAGTGATCTGAATGTTGACACGGGAGAGTAATTACAAGTGAATTAATTCTTCTGTTTCTATTAATTCGAGTCTTACTGAAGTATGAAATATTTAGCCTCTGATGGTGAATTTGCCTCAACTATTTTCTAACTGGCCAAGGCCTTTGAGTTCATAGGTTCTCTTGCCCTGATTTTACAAATGGAGAAAGTAGTTCTAAATATTGTACCAAGGACATGTCAGAGGCAGCTCTGATGCAGTCATCTCGGCTCCTCCTGCTGTCGGGTTATCATCTCTTCTGTCTTTGCCGTAGGGGCACCACCGGCACCGTGTGCGCACTGGTCATCATTGGCTGGTGCAGTTTCTCAGCTTCGAAAATCTTCATTTCGGCCCTGGACATGGAAGGACAACAGCTTCTCATTGCCTACCCCTGTGCCTTACTTTATGGACTGTTCGCCCTCCTGACTGTTTTCTGAAGAGGATTTGAGATGGCATTACAAGATTCTATTTTTTTTGCTGTTCAGATTATTCTGGAAATGCATTAGCTTTTAAATCTGGTAATATATTGTATTGCTATTGAGAGAATAATAAGCAGAAAAACAAAATAGCACTTATAGATGACGTTCTAATGTTTGGTTGGAATGATGTTTTGCTTTTCAGTTAGGTGCAATAAAACATGGAAACATACTTTGAAATAAAAGGGATAAGGCTGTTGTACTGATGGACCCTGCTTTTCTCAATAGGTGCATTTTTGAGAAATTGTAAGTAAATAAAATCACATGCTGACTGAATAGTTAGCCTTGTGAGAAAACTTCCTGCAGCTCAGGTTGTGTACATATGGTTGAAGTCACAGTGCCCAGCCCATTTGGAAAATTGTAAGGAGGAGTTATGTAGGGTTTTATTTACCTGAGATTCAAATAACTCCTGTCTTTCAATTCAACTGATCCAGCAACTGTTCTTTGGTCCCATTTGAACAATGCATCAACTCACCACATTTTCAAGGCCTCACTTCCTTCTTGCTTGATTTAGATGCCACTATTCATTCCTATACTTTCTCCTCTGCATGTATCCCCAGTAACCTTGCCATTTGCTCTTGAGATAAATGAATACGACTAGAGGAAATCCTACTGTTTCACTTTAATTATATTACTATATCTTAAATGGCTCCTCAGTAGCCTCTTATTATTATATTTTAAAATTTATTTGTTGATTTTAGAGAGAGAGAGGGAAAGGAGAGGAGAGAAATTTGTTGTTCCACTTATCTATGCATTTATTAGTTGTTTCTTGTATATGTCCTGACCAGGGACTGAACCCATAACCTTGGTGCACTGGGACAATGTTCTAGCCACCAGAACTACCCAGCTGGGACTTTAATACTGCCATTTTAATCCTTCTACATTACCCTACTAAATTTGCTTTCACATTGTCTGAGATAATTATGTTATACCATTTCTTCACTCCTTAAATCTCTAATGTTCCCTTTTTATTTCTCATTATTGATGAATTTTATTTTTATTTAATTGAAAAATAGAAGCATCCAGAATAAAAATGCTTTATATTCCCACCACCAGGTCTATCAATCTATATGCATCTTTGGAACGCGTGCACGCACACACACACACACACGCGCGTGCACACACACACACATACACACTTTGCATCCCTGTTTCTCCTCTCCATAGCCAGCCCTGCCACTGGCATGGCCATTGTTTTCCTCTTGACCTGTTACTCCTATCAACACATAAACATGTTTCAGTGTCTCCTATATTAAAAATCCTTTGGGCCCTGGCTGGTTTGGCTCAGCGGTCAGAGCTTCAGCCTGCAGACCAGAGAGTCCCAGGTTTGGTTCCCACTAAGGGCACGTACTTGGTTGCAATTCGTCCCCGGCCCCGGTTGGGATCATGTGGATGGAGACCAGTCGATGCATCTCTCTCACGTTGACGTTTCTCTCTCTCTCTTCCCCACTCTCTCCCTCCTGCTCTATCTAAAGATAAATGCAAAAATGTCCTCAGGTGAGGATAAAAAAAAAAAGTCCTTTGAGTCAACATCACTCTCCAGTTGCCCATTTTCCTGTCACAAAAATTATTGAAAGAGTTGTCTATTGTCTCCACCTCCACTTTATCACCACCCACTCTTCTTCTTACATGCCAATTCAGATTTCATCACTCTACGCACCAAGACCACCTTTCTCAAATCAGCAACAACCTCCGCAGTGATCTAAACCCAGTGGTCCGTTCTTGGTCATTCATTTTATGTGAACTCTCACAGGTATTGATTAGCGCTAGTCTCCTCCCGCCCCTGTGCGGAAGCTCCTACTTGTTCACTAGGCTTCCGGAGCATCACACATTCTTGGCGGTTTTTTGCCCCTACCTCACTGGCGGGTTCTTCTCAGTCACCCTGGCTGGCCTTTCTTCCCAACAGCAAATCTGTTCTTGACCTATAGTCACTCTCTAGATAATCTCATTTCACTGCTGAGTTTTAAAATCTAATAACTTCCAAATCCCATCTTCCATCTAACACTCTCCCCTGAACTCTTAACATATATATTCAACTTACACTTAATACTTTCATTTGTTTTTAATATAATGGTCTCAAACATAGCATATCTGAAACTTAACTTCCTCCCTGGTTTTCTCTCCAAACATCCTTGTCTTTATAGCAGGAACCTCAGATCACCAAGTTGCTCAGCCTAAAAACGAGCAGTCTGTCTTCATCTCACTTGGCTTTCTCACCCAACATCTAATCCATCAGAAAGTCCTATTGACTCTACAATCAAAATGTGTCCCATATTCAACCACATACCTGAAATTATGCTATTTATTTACTTTTTTGTTATCTCTAAACATTTTGAGACCAGAGACCTTGTCTGTACACAAGAATTCCTGACGAAGAACAGAAGAAAAATATACATTTATTAAATGAGTAAATTAATGAATAAAATTGTGATTGGGTGTCTATCACTGTAGTAAACAAGTTAACTAAGGCTGCAGCCCTAATAAAAATTACACTGGGCCTGGCTAGTGTGGCTCAGTGGTTGAGCGTCGACCCATGTACCAAGAGGACGGCGGTTCAATTTCCGGTCAGGGCATATAACCAGGTTGTGGCCCAAATCCCCAGTTGGGGGGGCATGGAGGAGGCGGCCAATTGATGTTCTCTCTCATCAATATTTCCATCTCTCTCCCTCTCCCTTCCTCTCTCTGTAAAATAAATTTTAAAAAATAATTTAAAAAACACAAAAAACTACACTGGGAGTGGAGGAAAAATAGGTAGTAAACAAATAAATAAAAATTAAGCAAGGCAATTGCAGAAGTATAAGAAGACTGCTCAGGTAGGAATGAGTAGAAAAGAAGGTAAAATAGTAGTAAATGTTTGACCTGTAGTTTATAATCCATCAGTGGACCTGTTAATGAAATGTGAGCTTTTTAAGCTCTTGCTCTGTATTTGACTAAAATGGTCTTACTGATTCTGTTCAAGAAAGACGAGGCAGCAATTTTGTTTATTACAGTGATTCTTAGAGATTTATTTACATTACGGACTTAAAACTTTTACCTTTTAGAAATTGCTTTTACTAAAAAAAAGTTATAGGTAAAAATTGCTCTGAATTTGGGATGTAGGTTGAGACTTTTCTATACATAAAAAAGTTACACACACAAAAAAAAATTTAATTTTTTGCTATAAAAATTATAACATCTGTATAAAAAAAAGATAATAAATAGTTCCTAGTATTAATAAATAAGAATAAATTCTATTTGAAAGTTTTTAATGGCAGAATTATGAATTATCTAAGAATTAATGTAAAAATATAGATTATTTCTATGAAAATAATTACAGTATATTAGAGGCACTTTTTAAGACTATAATATATAGATAGATATACTATACCCCAGGATGAGAAAAGTATGCTTTGTAAAAGAATATCCCCAAAATAAAAGTAGAGGTTTCATATCATTTCAATTAAAATTCTGAGTATTTTTCTTGGACATTGGCAAAATGATATTAAGGTTAATCTGGGGAAAAAAGAAAATGTGAACTGAAAACTTGGAAACAATCTAAAAATTTATGACAATAGCCAGTGAGTTAAAGTCAATTATTATCCATCTATGAATGAATACTAGGTAACTATATAAAAATATTTTGGAAGACTTGTAACATGAGAAAGTTTATGTATTAAATCTTCATATTTGCCAAGGACTTACTGTGGGTTGACCTCAATGCTTTGTGTTATTAACTCACTCAAACCTCACAGTGACTCTGTGGAGTGCTCTTATCTTCATCTCCATTTTATAGATGAGGCTCAGCGTTACTCAGTCAATAATCAGGATTTGAATCCAAGAAGCCTGATTCCAGAGTTCATAACCGCAACATAACCCTGCCTATTACTGAGCAAAAACCTCATTACATCTTCATAGCTATCAACATGTCTACTATTTATTCAACTCAGATTTCCCCTTTCCCCTTAACCTTGGCCAATACTGAACACAGCCAAAGAACTTCAGTGGTCAAGGAAGAAGAATAAAACAAGAAGATAGCAGAGGACTCTAGGATTGCTAAAGGGACCAAAGTGATACTTGCATCACTACTGGTTACCTATTTGAACTCTTGTTGAACTAAGCTACCTAGTTAGCATTTGGATAGAAAAATCTCACAATATAAAGGCCACTTCTCCCATTCCAAGTTGTGTGTGTATTATTTGGATGTGTATAAAATGGAGGTATTTTTCTTTTTAAATAAATGGTGACATTTATTTATGCTCAGTAGGGTGTGTTACAGAACAAGTGAAAGAAAGCACATTTAGAGTCTAACAACCAGCAATATACCCTTTTGGTTTAATAGATCCTGGCCAATTTTTTCACTTTCCTTTTTGCTCAAATGCTTGCTACTTCTTAGATCTCAGAATGCAAAGTTTTTCCAGTTTTCTGATTTTACTGGTTGGATGAAAGTTACAGATTATGTGCTAAGGGTAAATGGTGCATTTGGAGTCAAGAGGTGGCCTTCATTTCTCCAGAAATGATTGGGGACAGGTGCTGAAAATAAAAGCCCCGAATTACTCAGACTCCAGTGCCCCAGTTCACAACAGTTTAACTAGGGCAGTGGCTTTTGCAACATGTGAGGACAGATGCTTTTCTACTCTGCTCTGGTTCCCGGGGAGAACGCCGACTGTAAAACCACCTTGACAATCTCCTGTTTCTCTCTTTTAGAGCACGTTAGGTTCTATTCTGTTTCTCAGTGACACAGTCAAAGATCTGTAGCTTTGAAAATCAGTTTTCATTTTTTTGTTTAATTCCTCACCCGAGGATATTTATCTATTTATCATTAGACAGAGTGGGAGGGAGGGAGGGAGAGAGAGAGAAACATCAATATGATAGAGACACATCAACTGGTTGTTTCCCGCACAACCCGACCAGGGTCGGGGACAAACTGCAACTGAGGTACGTGCCCTTGACTGGAATCGAACCCAAGACTCATTGGTCCACGGCTGACACTCTAACCACTGAACCAAACCAGGCAGGGCACAGTTTTCATTTTTGAGTAGAAGTCTAAAATGATTTTAAATGGGTGTTCGGGATCCACATTTCTACGTGTGAGTGGAGGGAAAGGTTCCCACACCACCAACAAACAATCCATGGACACAGCAGGGTGTGCAAGAATTAACTCAATTCAGACACAATCTACCCAGCCATGGCACCAGATTTCCCAGGTCAGCAGTCCTACAGGACTGTTTGCCACCCAAACCAGCCCACCTCAGATGCCAGTCCCAGCCCACGTGGTTACCTGTCCCTCTGAACTTGGCAGACTCCCAAATTGGAGGTTCCCACAACTCCTCTTTGTGTTTGATTA